CCCCCATGCTGGCTCAGGAATTCTGGGAGTTGAAGTCCACAAGTCATGAAGGGGCCATAGTTCCTCCATGCTGGCTCAGGAATTCTGGGAGTTGAAGTCCACAGGACTGTAGTTGCCCACCCCTGGTTTTGGTATAGATCAGGGGTAGGCAACCTTGGCTCTTTTATGACTCGTGGACTTCAACTCCCAGAATTCCTGAGCCAGCATGGGGGAACTAGGGCCCCTTCATGACTTATGAACTTCAACTCCCAGAATTCCTGAGCCAGCATGGGGGAACTAGGGCCCCCTCATGACTCGTGGACTTCAACTCCCAGAATTCCTGAGCCAGCCTGGCTCAGCTTGGAAACCTCTCCCTTTCCCCTCAGCATGGCTGGCTCAGGAATTCTGGGAGTTGAAGTCCCCAAGTCATAAAAGAGCCCAGGTTGCCTATCCCTGCTCTACGGACTTCAACCCCCAGAATTCCCCAGCCAGCCATGCTTGGTTTTTTTCTTCTTCTTCCCCTTTCCCCCTAAAGCGGAGAGATTGCAGAGGAAGGGATTACAAGAGAACAATGCCGGCTAGGGAATTCTGGGAGTTGAGAAGCACTTTTTTTTTACAAATCCACAAGGGGACTCTGAATATTAGATATTCGGTACATTGTGTAATTTGGATTGCTCATAAAAGCGCACGGGGAGTATAAAAACTGGGAAGTGCAGCTCATTCAGGCCAACGCGCTGATAAACTGAATTTACTAGGAAATTGTTTTACTTATGGCTGTAAAGCAATAAACGGGGATTTAAAGGAATGCGGGCCTGCCTTTGTTTGGTTTAGGAGACACAAGCAGGTGCAGCTGCCAAAAAAGCCAACACAGTGCTGGGCTGCATTCACAGAGGGATAGAATCAAGATCAGGTGAAGTATTAATACCACTTTACAAGGCCTTGGTAAAGCCACACTTGGCACATTGCATCCAGTTTTGGTCACCACGATGTAAAAAAGACGTTGAGACTCCAGAAAGAGTGCAGAGAAGAGCAACAAAGATGATTAGGGGACTGGAGGCTAAAACATACAAGGAACGGTTGCTGGAATTGGGGATGTCTAGTTTAATGAAGAGAAGGACGAGGGGGGACATGATAGCAGCCTTCCAGTATTTCAGGGGCTGCCCCAAAGAAGAGGGAGTCAAGCTACTCTCCAAAGCACCCGAAGACGGGACAAGAAGCAACGGATGGAAACTAATTAAGGAGAAAAGCAACCTAGAACTAAGGAGAAACTTCCTGACAATTAGAACAATTAACCAGTGGAACTCCTTGCCTCCAGAAGCGGTGAATGCTCCAACATTGGAAGTTTTTAAGAAGAGACTGGACAGCCATCTGTCTGAAATGGTATAGGGTTTCCTGCCTGAGCAGGGGGTTGGACTCGATGACCTCCAAGGTCCCTTCCAACTTTATTATTATTATTATTATTATTATTATTATTATTATTATTATTATTATTATTATTATTATTATTATTATTATTATTATTATTATTATTATTATTATATTATGTGAAAAAAGTTACAAATAGAAGACATCAAGATTGTAATTAAATTAAAAAGGAGGCATATTGGGGATTTTTACCTTCTCCTATAATATCATAGAGAAGCACAGATATTCTGGAAAAAAAACAACCCTGAGGTATTAAATGTCAGGCATATTCATTTTGCAATGGGAAGGTTGCCGATCCACGCAGCAAGTTCCTAAATTAACCCACTGTCTGGATTTGCCGCAATAATTGGATACAGCTTGAGATAGACTCTAGAGGTCATCTAGTCGAACCCCCTACCAAGTTCAGGCTCTATTAGAGGGCTTCTGACAGTAAAAAGAAAAATTATGTATTATTTATTAAATTTATATGCCACCCATCTCACCGTCAAGTCACTCTGGGCAGCATAAAAAATATCATAAAACGTGAAGATATTAAATCAACAAGAATGAAATCAATTTTCTTAAATAATTAAAGAAGTTCTTTTAAAAACCCAGCGATCGAGAGATTCCTTCTAATATCTAGTCTGAACCTCCTTCCTTCAAGCTTGTGGTCCTCCACGGCTGCTCTCAGTTGCCCAAAATAACAAAAATTGTTTATTTATTACTAGCTGTCCCCGGCCACGCGTTGCTGTGGCTCAGTCTGGTAAAAGCGTGTGTTGCTTTCACATCCAACAGATGGCGCTGTTTTTCAAAAAAAGCATGTTTTTACCTGTCACAGGTGTGACATCTATATAATAGTAGGTATATAAAAACACGCGTGTATTCGAATGCAACGCTGTGTCAAAATTTCAAAGCAATCGGTGAAGAACTTTCGGAGACTTAAGATTTTGAACAAACGAACATTTACATTTTTATTTATATAAGATAGATTATTATTATTATTATTCAAACATTTAAGCCACCTGATATTCGAAGCATTCTGGGCCACTGAAGGCAAAAACACCCTTAAACATACATTTTGAATAAAAGCCGATACAATCAAATCAAATGCATGAAGAAAAAAAAAATCTATTAAACCAGGGCCAGGCCAATGACAAATGGGCCCGTTCAAAAACTAAAACCGTGCGAATGAAAACACAATCAAATGGGTGAGCGGGGAAGGGACCACAGAGTCATCTAGTCCATCCCCTCTCTGGAAGAGCTGCGGAAACGTCTCTGATGTGGCTCTGCAGACTCGGTTTAAACCAGTTTAAACCTTGCAATACAAGCAAGGATGTTGAGAGCCCGGAAAGACAGCGAAGAAGAGCAACAAAGATGATCACGGGACTGGAGGCTAAAATATACAGTATAAAACAGGGGTAGTCAACCTTGGCTCTTTTATGACTCGTGGACTTCAACTCCCAGAATTCCTGAGCCAGCTATGCTGGCTCAGGAATTCTGGGAGTTGAAGTCCACGAGTCATAAAAGAGCCAAGGTTGACTACCCCTGGCAAAAGAACGGTTGCTGGGATTGAGTAGGTTTAACGAAACGAAGGTCCTTGGGTGACAGGATAGCAGCCTTCCAATATATTTGAGGGGCTGCCCCAAAGAAGAGGGGGGGGGGTTCCCCCTATTCTCTAGAGCCCCTGAAGGCAAGGACAAGAAGCAACGGATGGAAACTCATCAAGGAGAGAAGCAACCTGGAACTAAAGAGAAATTTGGACAGCCCTTTCTCTTATAAGGTCTCCTGGCTTGAATAGGGGGG